CCACCAACGCCCGGCTCCAGTGCAGTATCTTAATCACTCAGGATGTAACATAAATGAGTTGGAAGAGGCTTTCTGCGAGAGCCTTTCTACTTGCCCACTCCTCTGCCAGGCCATGCCCCCCAAGTGTGAATGGGAGGAAGAGCAGATAGCCTTTCCCTGAAAAGTTGGTCAGGTATAAATATCTTGTATAGTATAGTTCCTCTTCCCTTATGAATACACATATGCACATGCACAGACACACATCAAAAGGTGCTTGGATGGATGGATAAATGGATGGATGGATGGATGGATGGATGGATGGATGGATGGATGGATGGACTGCTGTGGGATGTCTTTCTGTATGCTCTGAATATGTATGGCTCCCATTGGATAATAAATAAAGCTGTTTTGGCCTATGGCAAGAATGCTTACAGCCAGGTAAGAAATCCAAGCAGAGATACAGAGAGAAGGGTAGAGTTGAAAAAGATGTGAGCCACCACCAAAAGTGCAACAAGATGCCAGCAGGTAACACCATGGCTATGTGGCAACATATAGATTAATAGGAATGGGTTAATTTAGGATGAGAGCTCTAGCTAGCAAGAAGTTGGAGCTATAGGCTGTACAGTTTATAATTAATATAAGCCTCTGAATGATTATTTTATAAGTGTTTGCGGGACTAAGAGGCCAGGTGGGTGCTGTGGGTGATTGATTGATAAATGAAACGCTGATTGGCCAGTAGCCAGTTAGGAAGTATAGGCGAGACAAAGAGAGAGAATTGAGGGAACAGGAGGGCTGAGGCAGAGAGACTCGGCCAGCCACCTCGAGGAGAAGCATGATGTAAGATACCAGTAAGCCACGAGTAAGGTGTAGATTTATAGAAATGGGTTAATTTAAGATATAAGAACAGATAGCAAGAAGCCTTCCACGGCCATACAGTTTATAAGTAATATAAGTCTCTGTGTGTTTACTTGGGGGACGCTAGTGGGAGAGATTTGTCCTGACTGTGGGCCAGGCAGGACCAGGAAAACTTCAACTACAGGTGGGACTGAGAAACATTCCAGCTACAATGGATGGGTGATGCCATTCCCTTATATTTCATTTCCTTGGCATGCCATCAGCACCTTGACTCCCTAGCTTCTGATCTTCCCAAAAGTATTTAGAAAATATCTCTCAGGAAACATCTCACACTTACTATGAGGAATGAGGTATCTTTGTACACATTTACCTGCCACAGGAATTTCTAGAAAGACACAGGTCAGAGTAGCATTACCTTATTAGGTTAGGTCAGTCTCAGTTACCTCCTTGTCCCAGAGAACTTTGTAAAAGAACCAGAATTGTTGTAGATTATTATTTTAAGGGATGTTACTTTTGTTTATGTTACATTTGTTTAACTCTGTGAAGTTGTGTTACTGTGCCTATCTAAAACACCTGATGGTCTAATAAAGAGCTGAATGGCCAATAGTGAGGCAGGAAAAAGGATAGGCAGGGCTGGTAGACAGAAAGAATTAATAGAAGGAGAAATCTGGAAAAGGAGAAGTAGCCATAGAAGGAAGAGGACATCAGGGGCCAGCCACCAAGCTACACAGCAAGCCACGGAGTAAGAAATAATGAAAGGTATTCAGAAATAGAGAAAGGTAAAAGCCCAAAAGCAAAAGCTAGATGGGATAATTTAAGTAAAGCTGGCTAGCAACAAGCCAAGCTAAGGCCGGACATTTATAATTAAGAATAAGCCTCTGTGTGTGATTTATTTGGGAACTGGGTGGTCAGCCCCCCAAAAGAGCAAAACAGAATTCCCAGTTAGGGAAGCAAGATAGTCTCCAACATGCCTTTCTTCTCCTTTTGTTAAAGAGGATAATATTGCTTATCAGAACCAGAGCCACTATTCCCCTCTAGAAATCCCTGGGGTCTGCTCACCACATCTCATCAAGAAACTCTTTGGGGTAGAGTATATTCTGAGTTAGACATAGTGTCCTCATGCTTTTGATTCAAAGGTATTTTTTTCCCTACAGAAGTCCTTGTTTGTCAGGAAACTAGTCCCTACTGGAAGCCAGGCATGTGGTTGCAAGATTGTGCCTGGTTTCTGTTTATTTGGTCAATCAACATTCATGGAACATTGTCTTGTTCCAGTCCAGGCTACAAGCAAGGAAATCCCACCTGGTGTGGTACATGTACAAATAAAGCTCGATGACAGAGGTTTATTGAGGAACACAGATGGACAGCATCCACCATCTGGCTTGTCATGGAGAGGTGAAGCATGAGATGAATCTTGAAGAACTGAGTAGGCCCAAATGACAAGGAAGAGAACGTTTTTAGGAGGCCCACAGGTTGCACAAAAGCACAGAAGCTATAAAGAATATGCAATTATGAAGCTACAAATAGCTGGGAAAGGCTGAAGCACAGGAGAGGGGAGGAGAACCCGGGAGGCCGCTGTAGGCTTTGTACACCACGTACATGTTTAGATCTGTTCACACAAGAGATGGGGAACCAAAGATGGGTTTTAAGCAATGGATTAGTGGCCTCAGATCTGCTTGTTGGATACAGCTCTAAAGCTGTGTAGAAAGTAGATGAGGTTTCCATGGCAACCAAGGGATTCAAGCAGCATATGGTTTAAATAGCTATGGTGAAAAGGGAGACAACCTTGTAGTACAATGTAGTAGTAAGTAAGGGTGGAGAGAGGTCTACCTACACAAAAGAGCAGCTTAATCCGTGGATGGCAGGTTTGGGATGGATGGATAAATCCTGGGGGTGGCAGTGATTGGGGGAACAAAATTTCTGGTTGAAGTAAGTTCTCCAGTGAAAGTGGAAGTGAGGCGTGGAGAACAGGAGTCTTCCACTTTGTACTCTTACATACACATGATACTTTCATAGATACTTGTGGCTTTGATATTTGAAATGAGAATGACTATACATAATACAAAAAGTTTAAGAAGGGTCATTTTTAAATCACTACTAATGTTGATATTTCTTTCCCGGAACTTCATATCAAGCATCACCACATATGAAAACTCTGTTTTTAAGAGTGGGCCCTGGATGACTATCTCACTGATGTCCATGAGCTATTGGTAGATTATCTAAACCTCTAATGTTGGGTAGAGAAAGGATCTCCAGTTCAGAGCCTGGTGAATTTTAGGCTGTCTACCCACAATCTTAGAGTCTTTGTCTTCACAGGAAGGATTAACAGCTGCCCATGATCAGACTCCTTTATTCCACGCTGCTCAGTCATTAGGGACATTAGCCACTCAGAATCTAGTCCTGGACTTCATCAAAATACCAACAAATTCCGAGTGGCCCTGATGACAACTTTCTTTCCCTCAAGACAGAAGACTCTGTTCCAGCCAAGAAGGAGGAAGTAACTTGAGAAGTGAAATTAACAATAGCAATGTCCTAGAGGGGAATGGCCAAATCACCTCCCATGATGTAATAACCAGAGAGATGAAAATAGACAGACCGGATACATTAGAAGTATTTTATCACAGATGTGAGGGCTGCAAATCCATACGAAATATTATCCCAAAGATTAAAAACTCTAAAGTGTTTTTTTTTTTTAACAGAGAAAGGGAAAACAAGAAGACAAAGGAAATCCATAAACAAGGTTGCCAGTCACAGGTGAGGAAGTGAAGCAATAAGGAAGAGGCTGGAAAAGGGAAGAAAGACAATTGACAACTAATCCGGAAAGTCCCAGTGTTGCCCCGAGAGACAAATAAAGAAGTGTGAATCCGCATAGCATGTCATCCCCTGGAAGGCAAGGCGGAAAGCATGGAATGGAGTCCACCCCAGTGCTAAATGCAGAAACGCTTGAGCAGAACTGCTGAGATGTGCACGCACATCTACTCAACAATGCTGTTTAGATTATAATTAGGTCTTCGAGAAAATAGTCCAGAGATGGATGCTGTGTAGACAGGAGGAGGGGAAAATAAATGGTCAGAGCAATTAACAGTGCAATAGAGCAGTACTAGGTAATTAGTACTAGTACTTAGAGGTCGTTATGGAGACTGAGATGATGACGCAGGGGGAAAATGGCTGATACTTACTAGGTATGCCATAAGGAACATTTTTTAAAAAAAAAAAAACTATTGTCTCTAGTTTGAATCCAAGAAAAATGGTACAGTTACAATGGTGTAGGACAGAGACTGCAACCTAAGATGAGCCGACAAATCCATTGAAGTCTGAGGGGGACCCTGCAGGTGTCCAGGCAGGGATGCAAACCTCAAAGAGGTGAGAATGGAAACCCGGTTCACGTTGACTTCATTAACCTGGATCAGACTTGGGGAGTCTGGTGCCAAGTGGTTCATTGCCAGCATATTTAAAACATAGTACAATTTGGGGGGAAATTTTCTGGTGTAATACAATGCCCAGCGCAGAAAGGGGCATAATTACATTGGAACTCAAATCAGGGTACACGTCCTTTCTTCCAAGATGGCTTCTAGAGATAGGTGACCTGTACTTGGGTAAGGGCTAAGGAAGGGTCTGGCCTGCTCTTGGTCATATAAATAGCATAGAGATCATTTGGTCTCAGAGCCACCTCTGGTCCTGGTTGTGGGGATCTCTTGCTGCACAGATTATGTAAGGGTCATTTAGACTATTATGTATCTCCCTCCAGTCCTGGTTGTGGGAGCCTGGGGAGCCCCTGGCTGTAAGGGTTATTTAGATGACTAGCCACCTCTGGTCCTGGTTGTAGGAGCTTGATATGGCCTGACCCAACAGATAACACATATAACCAGGCTATTAATCACCTCCAATTCCAAGCTTTCTGGATGGAAGAAGAGGTTTTAGGTCTGTCCATGCCTTTGAAGGGGCAATCCTGTGCGCTTAACATTCCTGGTTTCTCTGGAGATCTGAGGGTGCCAGGACCTTTGTGCTGTGCTCCCAACAGAAGCCCATTAAATTGTGCACAACTTGTGACCGCTCTTCTGAAGCAACAGCAGACCTGAGTCACTGCACCTGAAACAAAAACAACCTGTCCTTTTAGAAAACATGAACAGGTGCTGGAGAGACGGCTGCTCTTGCCGAGACCCAGATTCACTTCCACAGCTCACATGCTGACTCACAGCTGTCCATAACTCCGTTCAAAAATCCAGTGCCCTCTTCTAACGCATACAGGCACCAGGCATGTACATGGTGCACATGCATGCGTGCAGGCAAAACACTCAAACACATTAAAAATAAATAAATCTTTTTGTAACACCTATTTCCAGAACCCTCAGATAAGTAGCAGCATGGCCCCATGTTCATGCCATTTCTCACCCACAGTAAAAGAGAAAATTGAGCAGACAGTCATGCCCCTACCCACCTAGAGCTATTCCTGTGAGATATAAAGGGAAGTCAAGCTTTCAATAGCCTCTCCGAGGTACAATAACAGCTCATCCATCAAGAGAAAGATGTTGGGTACCATACATTACAAGGTTCACGTGTTAGTTCCTTTATGTAAGTTCCCCTTACTCTAGAGGAAAAGAGAATCTTCACTGGAACCTGTCTACATCTTTTCTGAGCTCCTGAGTCCAAAAACAGGGAGTAGACTAACTGGAGATGATGCCCTGAGAGGAAGGGGAAGGGCAGAGGCCTTAAAACCAAAGCTCATGAAAGGGTGTGATGATGCACACCCATAATCCCAGCACTTGGGAGACTGAGACCTTGAATTCAAAACCAACCTGAACACAGTTGGTGAGATGGTCTCCTGGGGAAAGGTGCCAGCCATGCAGGCCTGGCGACCCGAGTTGAATCCCCAGAACTCACAAAAAGGTGGAAAGAGAGAAACAATTGCAAGTTGCCCTCTGCCCTCCACATGTGTGCCATACATGCAACCACACACACCATACATACGCAACAAGGAATAATAATAATAATTTTAATGCCAAACAGAGTTGGCTTAGCAGTTAAGAGCACTAGCTGTTCTTTCAGAGGTCTGTGGTTCAGTTCCCAGTACCCACATGGTGGCTTATCACCACCTCTAACTCCAGTCCTAGGGAGTTCTGCAGACACTGCACACACATGATGCACAGACATGCATTCACAAAACATACCCATCCACATAAATTATAAAAAATAACTTTGAAATTAAAAACTAATTGTGAGACAAACAAGTAATATTTCCTGAAGATGATTGCGTCTAATCATGAACTTCCAAATCCCTTAAGATAAAAAAGAAAAGTGTCAATAATGTAACATCCAATGTCTGGGATCTTCTGTGCTTCTCCAAGGGGCTTGAATTACTTCTGGAGCTCTGCCCTCTATAACACACACAGCTTGTCTTCTAGGCCCCAGCTGGCTCCACTCTACCCTGCTGCTGTTCTTGGCGGTCATCCCATGGTACTGGCATTTCCAAAACACTGGGGTCTGCTGATACAGCTGGGCTGCACTTTCACCAATAGCCTCTCCTGGGCCCTCTTCATGGTGACAATCCTCGGCTTCTCTGCATGACCCCTTCAATCCTGTGCCTTCAGCCGCCACTGGGGCTAGACCTTCACCAATGGCCTCTCACAGTGCCAAACCTCAGCTGCTCTCCATGACCCCTTCATGCCTTCAAAACCAGTACCACCTGGGTGGTATACACGATCAAATTTAGCTGCCAGCATGAGGCACAACCCTGGCCATCTCTGGAACACAGCTTCTGTGTGCTGACTCTCCGGGGACACACACTTTCCAGAAGATTTCACCTCAACGATGCCAGTTACTTCCTAATGACTGCTAATTTCTCAGCTCCAGCAACCAGCATCAACTATCCCAGCAAAGCAAAGGTTTCACTTTAATAGTTCTGGTATTTTGTTAATCACAGCCAATCCTTCAGTCTCAGCTAACCAGAACCACAGAATCTTAATTAAAAATAACTGTGGTCCCAACAGAGTCTTTAAACTTCCCTCTGAAATTTTACAAGCCAGGCAGGCCTCCGTTGTCTGCATTACCTTCGACATTCTTATCTTCCAAGGTCCTACAGAACAGCTTGCAAGCATTGAACATTCCATGACTTTTCTTGCACAAAGTTCCCAAGTCCTTCCACAATTCTCCCCAGAACAACATGGTCAGGTCTGTCATAGCAATACCCCAAAATCCTGGTACCAAAATTTGTCTTAGTTAGGGTTACTATTGCTATAATGAAATGCCGTAACCAAAGAAAGTTGGGAAGGAAAGAATTTATTCAACTTATGCTTTCACATCATAGTTCATCCTCAAAGGAAGTCAGAACAGGAACTCAAGCAGGGCAGGGACCTGGAGGCAGGAGCTGATGCAGAGGCCATGGAGGGGTGCTGCTTGCTGGCTTGATCCTGATGGCTTGATCAGCCTGCTTTCTTATAGAACCCAGGACCACCTGCACAGGGATGACCCCACCCTTAATGAGTTGGGCCCTCCCCCATAAATCAGCAATTAATAAAATGCCCTACAGACTTGCCTACAGCCAGATCCTATGGAGGCATTTTCTCAACTGAGGCTCCCTCCTCTCCAATGACTCTAGCTTGTATCAAGTTGACATAAAAATCAGCCAGTACAGAAAAGGTGAGAGGAAAAAGCAGACTCCTAAGAACTGTGCTAAAACACCAACTCCCAGAAGGAGACAAGGTCTGGGGAAAGGAGTGGGGATAGAAATGGCTGTGTTCTGTTCTGACCAAGAGGATAGACAAGGAAGCACCCAGTGTAGACCCCACACACCAGTGGGAGTGGGAACTCATGCCTGTAATCTCAGTCCTTGGGAGACAGATGCAGGAGGATTGCCATGACCTTGAGGCCAGACTAGGCTGCAGAGTGAATTCATTCACATTTATCACAGCAGTAGAAAAGTAACTAAAACAGGTGCCAAGGCACTTGCTGCTTTGAAGAAATGCCTGTCTCCATCTTGGAGGCTTGAGATGCCAGGGTGGAGGAAACCTTACAGCTGAAAAGGGCTGAATAAGCCAAAAACTGGAGAATTCCCCAATAGCTAGAATACCCGCCACCATCCTGGCATTGCCAACTTCCTCCTTTGCTTTGTTCATTTCCTTGGTCTACACTGTCATCACCACCGTCATTACTATACCACACACTTCCCCCCAACACAACGATTCCTATAATGAGTTATTTTCTACTCACTGAGGACCAGAAGGATGAGTGGCCTGAGAGACAGGGTTTGATACACATATTATGCAACTTGCCTGCTCTATTCCACAAGGGGCAGAGGCTTGGAGTCCAAGCCACGGGGCCAGGATGAGGTATGACAGAATAACAGGGTACCAGAGGCATTGCCCCATGGCTCCAAAATTTCCCTGTAGAAGAAAAAGAACCTTCAACCTCACTATTGCACTGGCCAAATCATCGCTCATCTCCTCATCTCTGTCTCTCCATCTGTTAGTCACGTTTACATGACCATTTGTCTTTATCCGTATGGTCCCACCGGATCCTACCAATCGTTGGGGTTCCTCTCTGCTGTCAGGCTGGGGGTGGGGTGGGAATGTTATAACTAGAAGATGGTGAGGAAGATGCTGCAGCTGGACTGAGCTCAAGGTTCCTGACAAACCACCCAGGGAGAAGGGGCTGGGAGCTGACGCTCGGGCCCCTCATAAACCCCTGTCCAGTCCCTGGCTTTCACCCTCCCCTGCTCCGCCCATCTCATAGTGGCAGACCAGAAGTGTCTCTAACACTCTCTGTCAGGAGAGCCCAGAAAATCATCTGACCCTCCAGCCCTGCACAAAGGCCCTGAGGAAGGTAACAGTCCCCCCAAGCAGGCTTGGGTACCAGTGGTTAATTTGAAAAATAGATCCTGTGAAGGCAGAAGAGACAAATGTACCAGCTGGCCCAGACAGGACTTCTGAACCGTCTACAGGACAAGACAATAAATCTTTTTGAAAATTATTTCCAGGAAAGGTTTTTTTCTCTGTAGACCAGGTTGACTTCGAACTTACAGAGATCGGACTGCCTCTGCCTCCTGAGTGCTGGGATTAAAAGCATGTGCCTCATCAGGGCAGCGCAATAGAGCCAACTATGTTAGCA